TCCAATGATTTCAGAAGGCTAATTAATTACTTTATTATACTGTATTATACTATAACTATATTACACTAACAAGAACTATCACTAACTAGAAAACCAGTGACTCTCTCCTGAGAGTCCCAACACACATGGATTCAACTGGTCAATGAATCCAAACAACCATCACCAGAATTCAATCAAGCAATCACCTTAAGTAAACAATCTCTAGAACACATTCCACATGGCACAAACAGCAATTATGAGGTAAGAATTGTTTTGATTCTCTTTTCTCTGCTTCTCTCAGAAGAAATCCTGAGAAAGCTAAGTCTCTCTCTGTTCAGAGGGCATGTGAATACCACATCTTCCATGAAGTATTGCAAGTCATTCAAACCTAGGCTCTCCATTGCCCATTCTTTATTTTTCATGAGCTCCTGGGGAATGCAGATGTTGTGCTTTGGAGAAGTGCTTTGCTCTCACAGTTGTAACCAAAGCCTCCAGATACTGAATGCAGAAACTTCTGCTGGACTTGGACTTCTCTCCTAAAGAATCCTGGATGTCTCAGGTTGGACACTGTGATTTCCCTGGCCACTTTGACCTTAATCTCCCTGTGCCCCAGTTTCCTGTCTGATCCTGGTACGACGAGGTAAAATGCAGAAGATATTCAATGGTGCCTACAGAGCACCAGCAGATTAGTGATGAGCACAACACACAAAAAATTAATCATGCCATACTTGAGCAGAGGTTGGCTGGGGTCCCGGGAACGTGGCACAAGGCCATGTTGAATGAGAAGTGTAAAAGGGAAAGGCTTAGCCATTATCCATGTACTGAGCCATCCTCAGTGCATCCCAGGTACAAGATACACAGAGAGCCTTAATTCTTCTTAATTCCTGTGTGCTTGACTCAGCTGAATGCTGTTGCTTCCCTTAAGTTCTGCAACCCTTTGCTTTGCACTGCCAAAGGGACTGAGGGACAGGAGATTCATAACCTCCAGGTCTAGTTGTCCAGACTTAACTTGCCCAGCACAACAGAGAATAAAGAATTCTCATTGGTGCCAAATTAGAATCCAGCGAGTACTTTAGGTCTGAGGTTTCATCAATACTTTCCATCAATTTGTATACCAAAAGCAGTGACTTTTGTCAAGTTTTTATTGATTTCCTGTCTGCCAAAGTGCTTTTTCAAATTTGTAATGGAGTAAGAAGCAAAACCTCCCAAAACAGGGAAGGAAAGGAACTGCAATTTTTTATTTTTAGGAAAGAAACAGCAATTTATTTCCTCCTCCTCTCTATTTTTTGTCACCTAAGTATTTTTTCTGGTATTATCAGCTGCTGCTATGACCAGAGGTATTTCCTCCTTTTTGAAGGCTACTTTCTGAAGGCAATGCAGAAATGCAGATCTGATGCCATCCCCTCAGCAGCTTTCAGACTCGGATTCCACCTTTATGGTGAGCAGGCTCAGAGATGCTGCTTTGCTTCCTCCAGATTTCTGACAAACCCCCCCCCAGATCTTGGGTAATGTTTTTGGATCAAGTAAACAAAAAGCCCCTGACCTTATAGTCCTCCCTGCTGAGGAGAAAAAGTTTTAGTATGAGCTCTCCTGTTGTCCCACCCCAGTATCTGACAACAGATGTAATTTACTCATGGAGAAAGATTTATTAAGGATCTGATGCCTCTTAGCAGAAAAGTATCTTCTGTCACTTTCTTTGGTGCAGACTTTTTTGTCTTTAAGGAGAAAACTCTACCCGCTTTTCCACCATTTAACATCCTTCAAATGTTTCTCTCTGGCATTTGTTTCCCACTTGAGCTGTTACAGTAAAACATGCAGGTCATTGGAAATCAAATATTGCTAATTTGGAATTCATATGTACAAGTCACATTGTTCATAACAAAAGCCCATGGTCATCTTGATGATGGTTTTTAGAATGGGAAGTCTTCTGTGTACACCTGGGGTAGAAAACAGCTCTGAGCCTTGCCAGGGGTATCCCGTGACTCAGTTCTGCTCACAACTTTTCTAGACCTATGTGGGTCAGTCTCACTGGGCCCCCAGGGCAGTCCCAGAAAACCTGACTCACCTTGTTACACCCAGCACGGAGAGCAAAGGAAATGTGGATCTGTTCAGCAGCTGGGATGTGCCAATGACTCAGGCTGCTGGGCTGGATCAGTGCCTGACCTGTTTATGCTGCTCTGTGTCTCCCTCCTCTCCTAGGAGCCCTGGGAGCGATGATTCTTCAATTCATAAATTCACAGAAGACACATTTAAAGCTCTGTGCTGTGAATAAGAACCAGTTCTGAAATGTTTAATAGTCCCTGAAGTCAAATAACCCTCTCCTGTAGGTTTAGATTCCAAGGGTCAGCTCTTCACCACATGCAGCTGAACTTCATCGTGTGTGCTGGCTCCACTTGCTGTGGGAGCTCCGTGCTTGCCCACTGCTGGGTGGATCTGGGGTATTGTGCCTTTTGTAGAAATACCAGAAAAGAGGTAAATCACCCTGAGCAGGTGCTTCAAATTTCAGAAGAAAGGAAATGCTGAAGCAGAAGAGGAAGGAATCAATCATGTTTGCTTTTGCTCTGGTACAGCAATGTGCTCATTCCCTTTCTGCCTTTTTCCTTTTAGGAAAGGAAAATTACTTTCTTCCCTTAAAGAAATAAAGTTTGCAAGCCAGGAAGAAAGAAGAACTAGGAATGTTCTGATCATCCATCAGTTATGTTGTTTCATTTAGCTTAGACTACTTTCCCCCCCCCCCTTTTAATATTTTAAAAATTAATTCCTTAAAATTGAAAATGTTTTGACTTACCTATTCTGGGGGAAAAAAGAAGGCATTTTGAATCACAGTGGGTTTTCTGCCACTGGTTGAGACTGGAGTATTTTTGATCTGGAAAGAAGCTGCCTAGTTGTCTTTTCCTACTTACACTGACCTCAGACCTTTCTGATAGTTTCCTGCATGGTGGCTCAATGCTGCTTCCAAGTACAATTCGAAGATTCCCAAAAGAAGACAAAGAGTCTCTTTGCAGTTCCCAGTTTGCCTTCTTTGTCAGACTCTTCTTTTCAAGGTTATCTTTAGCCTCATCCAGCATTCCAGGAAAAGAAAGAAGTGTCCTCTGGAGTTTTTTGCAACCTTGGTATAAAAACATCCCACCACGTCATAAAAACATCCCACCACGTCTTGCCATTTCTATCTGATGTCTGTGACATTTAAAGATACGTTTTTGGAGCTTGTCCCTCTCCATAACCTATTGTTTAATGAGTGCCACTGGAAATACAGCAACAGAACTTAAACGAGGGATCTGAAGTTGAGGAGATGGAGCAGGGAGGATGGAGTGACTCTTGGGCATGAAAAATTTAGTGGAAAGGGTGAGCATGAAAAGGGGCATGGGAGGGCAAGTAGCAAGTCCAGGTTTCAAAATGAGGTTGGGAAATGAGTAGAAAAATTCAGATTGGTTGGGAGGGAGGGAGGGAATTGGGGAGCAGAGCTCTTGGCAGCACTGTCCAGACACATCAGTAACACAGTGTTTGCCTGTGCACAGCTGGGTTAGGCGAGCTACAGCTCACTTGAAAGAAACAAAGGTGTTGGCCCCTGCCATCTAATTACCGGGAGAAAAATTTCCCTGTACCTCGGGGCAGCACTCAGCAGGAGCATTTTTTAAACCACATCACTCTAAGGAAAACCCTGAAGATGCCCGGGAGGAAAACATGAATGTTTGACAAATCAGGTGTGGTTCACACCTCAAACTTGTTTTCTGTCAGCATTCCCAATTGAGCTACTCCTGATTTGCATTTGTTTAAATGAAAGGAAAACCAGACAGTTTCCAGGGACAGCAGTAGTGGCACCCAGGAAAGTGCTGCTCCAGCAACAGCTCCGGGTGTGGTAGATTTTAAACTTTAAGCCGTGGAGTGCAGGTGACCTCAGTGTGCTTTGCTGGACCAAGACTCAAGCACAGGAAGGAGCAGGTGTTGCAAGCAGAATGAAAAAATAAATAAATTGATTTTTCCACAGTGGAATGATGTCCTCTGGGAGAAGCACTGCTGCTTGTGCCAACCAGGGCAGGAGCGTGCGGCACACCGGGATGTGCTCTGCAGAGCTCGCTCCTGCTCTGGACAAACACTGATTTTCCACGTCTTAGTTCCTGCTACGATCCTTTCCTGTCTGCAACATCATGCAAAATTAACAGAGGCAGAAGCAGTAGGTCGAGAAATTCCTTCCAGGATTTTACTGTCCACAGCTTTAAAAAATAGTGTCCTAGTGAAGAAAGGGCTGGGGGAGGACGGCGCTGGGTCGGGAATAGGGCGCAGCGGAGCCGGGAGCTCGGGTGTGGCACTGACTCACCTGCTCCTCCGGGGCTCCGGCGCGGCAGAGCCTGGTCCCTCAACACGTGCAGAAAAGAGGTTTCCAGCCCCAAATCCCCCTCCTGTTGAGAGGGGAGAATCCTCAGAGAAATATCTTGATGGCTTCAGGAAAAGCTAGCGGCATTTTACACGTTACGCTGCACTTTGCGTTTATCTTTTGCGGGCAAAGTGCGGCCGCCTTCCAGTGTGCCACACGAGCATTCCCGAGTGTTTTCCCTCAAACCCAAACCGCTGGGGGGGGAAAAAAAACCCCAAAAAACCAAAGAACAACCACAAACAAAACAACGTAGAGATGCAAAACCAGGGTGTTTGCGTGAGTTTCGCTCAGGGCAGAACTTCGCAGGGGACCAGCGCGGGGGGGATGCTCGGGGGATGCTCGCGGACTCCGGGCGGTGCCGCCCGCATCCTCCCCATCCCCTCCCGTCCCCTCGCATCCTCCCCATCCCCTCCCGTCCCCCCCCGTCCCCGGGCGTCCCCCGGCCCGGCGGGGCGGGCGCGCAGGCGCAGGGGGGGCGGGCGCGGCGCTGGGAGCGCGGAGCGCGGCGCGGCCCCAGACCGCGCTGCAGCCGCCGCGGGGGCGCCACTACCATGAGCGGCCGCGGCCGCCCCTGCGCGACTCACGGGCACCGGGCGCTGCCGCCGCCGCCGCCGCCGCCGGCCCCCCCCCGCCGCCGCCGCCGCCGCCGCTGCCGCCGCGCACCCCCGGCCCCCGAGCCCGGCGCTGCAGGATGCCGGGGGGCAAGAGAGGGCTGGTGGCACCGCAGAACACCTTCCTGGAGAACATCGTCCGGCGCTCCAGCGGTGAGAGATTCCCCCCGTCACGCATCCATCCGCCCGTCCGTCCGTCCATCCATCCATCCCTCCGTCCCTCCGGCGTTGCCGTGCCAAAGCGGTGCCTTCAAGGAACGGGATCCGCTCATCCCCTCCGGAGCATCCCCTCGCGGTCCTTACCCTGTCTCCCGGCACTTCTTACATCGCAGTCGCTACTGCCAATTCGAACCTTCTTCTCTTTTATGAGACAATAAATTGTCATCCTCTCCGCTCATCGGGTCTTTTTTTTTTTTTTTTCCCTTTTTCTTGCTCTTTAGTTTTGTAATAATTAGAATTTGCAACTATTTCTATTCAGGGGGTTCAAAGTTTTTTGCAATTCTTTAAAGTCTGGCACTTTAAAGTCTGTGGCGAAGGCGCCGGGAGAGCGGTGAGGGAGTGACTGTGGTGTGGATGCTGGTAGTCCTGTGGCTGAGTAAATGGGTAAAGAACTGTCTGCAGTTGCTCATTTACGGCTCCTCTGTTAGGTGACTATTTACAGGGCTAGCTCAGGACTGTTATTCCTTGCTGCTGGAATTAATTTCACACTGTCTAGTGCAAAGCACTGATCAAGAGCGCTGTACACAGCTCCATTGAAGTTACGATGTGTTTGCAGCCCACTGTCTCTTTGGGTGTGCTGGTGTAGATGCTGCTTTAGGCAAGACCTTTGATAGTTACGTTCATTTTTAAATGTAGTTTTTGCACTGGTCAGAACTACTGAGACATAGAAGTGTTTGCATAAATGTAGGAGAGCTCGGCTTTGGGTTTTACTAAAAGATAACTCCTTGGTCAGCCCAAGCTTAGGGCGATGCTTCCATGGGGAAGCACTGCTGTGCCAGTGTACACCTGGAGACAGGAGGGGGAAAGGTGAGCAGAGCATTGAGAAGAATTACTACATTTGGTATTAATCAAGACACCAATGGGTTGTGAAATGGTGCGGAAAAACGTTCCTTTCCACCTTTCCATATTGCACAGGGCTGGGTGTACCTCCCAGCCACACCAGAGTGCTCTGGTGTGCTGGCTTGGAGTGCATTTTGATGGCAGGTAGTGAACTGGGGGATTCATGGATTTTCCTCATGAGCAGGAGTGAGATGAGGAGTTGGAATTTGTTTTAAAATGTTGTGCGTTAAAATGCCAGCTTTGTATTAAGCTGTTTTTGGGGGGCTTCCTCTGTCAGTTCTGTTGGACTCCCTGTCAAGCCCTGTAGCTGCCCGATCTCCAAGAGCTGCTTTCCCACAGTAGTGTATTTATTTCCCAGAATATTAAATGCAGGTTTAATTAATAGGCATTTATATAGCACTTTCCCTCTGACAATTTCAAAGTGTTGAGTGGAATTTAATTACACTTCACGGCTCCTTGTGGAAGAGGATGTACAGAGGCTTTCTCAACCTGTTCATCAAATTGTGGCGTAAATGGGGGCTTGGGGCATCACAGCTGATTTCCCTAGGTCATGCAGCATGTTGGTGGCAGGGCTGGGAGCATGGTTTGGGAATGCTATGGTTTTGTATTGTGCTCTAAATAAATCACACATCCTCCCTGTGAAAGCTCAGTAAAGCCTTGAGACATCAAAAATTGGAAAAGCTCAGAAGGCTTTTGAACATTATACTTTAAAAGCATGTATCCACACCAGTTTTTAACCTAATCTAATTTAGAGCATAAATCATGCTGATCTGGTAATTCATTCTGCTTTTTCTCTGCCACTGATGATGTCTAAGCATGGTGCTAACTAGAGAGGTAAATCTTTCCTGTTGGACACACAGAGGAAAGTAGATTGGGAATTTGTATTTAACTCATGTAAGTTGTCAGTGTTGTGAGCTGAAACATGATTTAGTTCTTATTTTTGTCATCAAGGACATAGCCTTATTTATCCTTTATAGAAATAGTAATTTTCATTGGATTCAGAACTATTTAATCCAAACTTAATAGTATACAGTGGAGCAAATCTGGTTCAGGTATCTCCTGCCAGTGCTCGGAAGAAGACAAGGATTTGGTCTGCTGGCGTATGCTGGGTTTGTTTTTAGACTTGGATTCACCAAGTTCCAAGGGGTTTTTCATTGACAATTTGAGGAATGGGATGAAGGAAAGACTGATGATTGTTTTTAAAAATACATCTTCAGCATTCCCCCCAAAAAAAGCCTTTCTGTCACCATTACTGGTTCGGGAACCTTCTCCTTTCAGATTTGCCACATTTATGCAATCCCATTGCACTTCTTGATCATAAATCTTTTCTTAACAACCCAGAGAAGGTTTGTAGGTACGGGTAATAACTTCTATTAGGCTACAGGTTCTGCTGGAAAAAATCAGGCAGGTATTTCAGCAGATAGGCTCTTCTTCAGGTGAAATAGAAGAATGGCTTCAAAATGATGTGTTGATGGAGACAAATTACTCAGAGTTACCAGAGATGGATCCTAATAACAAAATTTATAGACATATTTGTAATAATTTTAAAATGTGGAAAGTCAGGACTAGGAGCGGGTGTAGTAGGAACACAGCGTGCAGGCTTGGTGTGGTGTCTAGCCTGGTGTTGAAAGAAATCATATATTGAATTTTTAGCATTATTTGGGCACTTTCTCTTTAGGAATGTCATGAACCCTTCCTTTTTACCTTCATCTTTGGCTGCTCATTAGCTTAAAATTGTAGGAGAAGCACTCGGAGGATGCAGCCAAGAGCAATACACCAAGGAGCCGAGCAGAAAGGAACGGGGTGGCTGAGACCAGGGTGGCCATGAAATGGTGTGACCATGGCACTTTGCCCTCTGTGTTGGAGAGTGGGAGAGCTGGGCTGTCTTGCTGGATGTCCCTCTCCCTGCCAGGGTGTTTGGGAAGGATGGAGCTGCTGTCAGAGCGATGGAGAGGTCCCACAGTGTCACCTTGCCTGGGGGAAAAACGTCACCTTTGGAGACAACTTTACACCTTGTGGTTTTAGGTCAGCGTTGAAGGTGGAGTTTTGGGCAGCATCACAGGCTGCAGGTCCTTCCCAAAGCATGGGGGGTGCCTGGCAGCCTCTGCTTTGCAGGGTCTGTGCCCTCACCACAGCTGAGCTCCACTTAAGGAGAGCCAAAGCCCATGGGGAGAGCGAGGTCTGTCCTTAGGGCTGCTGTGCCTGCTGAAAGGGACAATCAGACCTGTCTTCAGGGTAATCTCAGTGCACTCTCTGCAATATTTTTTTTTTCTTCTTTTAAAGCACAGTGAAAATACATTGGGGCTTATCTGAGGCTCACAAAGATCGATATGATCTCGCTACAGCCTTGGCTGTGCCCTAGATCTTAAGATCACCAGGTGTTTTGCTGAGCTGAAAGGTGTTTTGTGAGAGCACTGGGCTAAATCACATTAAGGTGACTGCCTTTTACTGCCATTAGTATTTGGGATGTTTAATAAGGACCATCCTAAGGGCAATGTTCTCTCCCAAGATGTTCTCAGCAGGCTGTGCCCGTTATTACTGATATTGTTGTTCACTTCAGTGCATTCAGAGCTCTTACGGATGCTGACCTGTGCTCAGCAGGTCAGCACTGTGGAAGTAAAGAGGGTACAGAATTGGGCAAGTCTCTAGATCAGGGCTGGGATTTATGGACCTGTCCCATGGGCAGAGTCATCCAGCAAGTTGAGCCATGCAAATTTTTTTTTGCCTTCACAAATTCTATAAGCAGAAAAATTAAGTATATGTTAACGGCATAATTTGCTTTTATGGCAGAGCATGAATTTGTGGAAAGGGTGGCTCTAGGACTTGGCAGCAATCTGCAATAAATACTGATAACAGTTTGGAAGAGGGGATGAATTTAGTGAAAAACTATATATAATCTTATCTATATGATAAGAGTCATCATTATTGGATATTGTTTCTGTTGCAATAACTCTTAGAAGCTTCCTCATGAAGGTGGGTCTTTCACAAAAGCATTTTGACACCAGGATGAAATCTTGGCTCTCTAAGGCTTACTTGGGAATTTCAGCATGAGTTTTAATGAAGCTAGCATTTTATTCCTGGCCTTTTTCAGTGTTATGCTAGATTCCTAAAAAGTAATTCCTTCATACAGACCTCGATGCCCTGCTGGGTCCCTGTGACTGGTGGGTGAAAGGATCAACCCTGTTTATAGGTGATTTTTGTCAAGATGGGTTACCAGGAAAGGAAGGGGAAACAAGTGTCACATCTGTAGCAATAAAGCACCTTTAAAATTTTTATTCCACTGGTATTACAGATAAAATAAGTGTCTCTTGTCTCTTCTGTTCTTACTAGCTGTGTAGGGTTCCTGTCTTCCAGGCAGGGATGTGGGATGTGATGCATGTGGGCTTCTCTTCCCTGAATTAAAACAAGCTGCATTTTCTTCTGGCACAGATTAAATTGCACATGCTGCACAGAGAAAATTCTTTAAAGCAAAGTACTTCAAGTTTAGTGGACGTCTATCATTTGGGATCCTCTGAGAAAAATGCAGAGCTCAGCAGTTCCCTAAATCCCTGCATGAAAGAAGGATGCACCGTGGGGTAAAAGTTTCCATCCTCCAGTTCAGCTCAGAAGTTAAAGAAGGGATTAGCAAGGTGCTCATGTCATTGGGGTTTTCTTTGGCATTCGAAGGCACAGGGTTCCTTCTGCAGGTTCTGTGACTGCAGGGCACTTGCTGGCACGTAAATCAATGCAAAGTGGATTTTTACACTGGCAAGCATTGCTAGATGGCATATGTGAGGGGTTTGCAATTGCAGACACCCTGTTTTCCTTGCTTTCCAAGTGGGCTCGCTGAGTGCAGACAGATTAAGCATCTCTGACTGCTGCTGAAATTGGGGAGCTCTGCATAGTCTAAAGTGTTTATTTTTACTTAAAAATAGTTATGGAAGCTCTGTACCATTTTATTAATTTAGAAAATTAAAGAATGGCATGTTGTTAGCAAAAGGAAAAACTGGATTTCCTTGAGATATGATCAGCTGATTTGTGGTCTCATTTCTAATTGGAGCATTTCTTTCTTTTTCTTTCTTTCTTTCTTTCTTTCTTTCTTTCTTTCTTTCTTT